TTATGCTTGAACTTGAAAGCCGCCCATGTGTCGACGGCGTCTGGCAACATCATCTCCCAAGGCCAATCTATTTCCGGCAACCAAACAATCAGCTCATCACCACGCGGCATATTCGAGCTTGGTTTCTTCACTCCAGGTAACTCCCACAACCACTACATAGGCATCTGGTACAAAAAACTACAAAAAACCGTTGTTTGGGTGGCCAACAGAAACCACCCTGTTTCCGATCCATTTTCTTCCTCCCTTCAACTCTTCCCAAACGGAACCTTAATACTGCTCGACCAATCCAAATCTTCCATTTGGTCAACAACTCGTGATCTCTCAGTTGCTTCTAATTCTACCAGTGAAGTAGCAGCAGTGCTTCTTGACAATGGCAACTTTGTCATAACAGATGCTTTGAATTCGTCTGCTGTCATATGGCAGAGTTTCGATCACCCGACCGACACTTGGCTGCCGGGCGGGAAGCTTGGATACAACAAGCTGACCAATGAGAAACTAACCCTCACTCCCTGGAGAAGCTCACAAAACCCAGCACCTGGGATTTTCTCTCTAGAGATCGAACGAAACGGAACAAGTTTTCTATTGATGTATAATGGGACTAAAATGTATTGGACCAGCGGGCCTTGGACAGGCAAGATTTTTAAGTATGTTCCGGAAATTCAGTTGAATTATTTGGTCACGAATATCAGCTATAAGTCCGATGAATTTGGGAGTTATGTTTCTTATGATGCTGTTTTCCCCGACATCTTTGTCCGGTACATGCTTGATATCTCCGGGCAGTTCAGGGCCTACAAGTGGGGGAAGGACTATAATCAGTGGACTTCATTTTGGTTGCGACCCTCCGAACATTGCGAGGTATATGGATTCTGCGGTGCTTCTAGTATTTGCAACCAGCAACAAGTGCCCTCTTTGTGTATGCTTGGAAGGGTTTGAACCGCGAGCTCCAAAAGACTGGGACTTGGAGGATCACACGGAAGGGTGCGTGAGGAAAAACCCCTTTAGAATGCAGTACAGGCAGTGGAGGAAATGACACATTTGTGGTGATACCCGATTTGCGCTTCCCAGAGAATCCCGAGACTTTAGCAGGTAAGAACATCGATGAGTGTAGATCGGCGTGCTTGAGTGATTGCTCGTGTACAGCGTTTGCTTATGACAGTGGGTGTTTAGTTTGGAAAGGGGATTTGTTCAATGTAAAACAACTTAAATCTGATGAGACAGTCGGCAAAGAGTTGTATCTTCGGGTTGCAGCATCAGAGGAACCAAAGGCGAAGAGAGAGAATAAAACCTTTTGGATTGTCATTGGAGTACTTGGAGGTTTGTGTGGTGTTTTACTGGTTATTGTGGTAATTGCCAAGAATGAATGTTCCGGTTCTGGGGAAAGGTCTGAGGCAGATGAAGGCTCTTTGACAATGTTCAAGTACCGGGTTCTAAGAAACGCAACCAAGAACTTTACTGAAAAACTTGGGGAAGGAGGCTTTGGTTCTGTTTTCAGAGGGACACTGAAGAGTTATACCGCCATCGCAGTGAAGAGGCTTAACTGTCCAAAGCAAGCAGATAAGCAATTTCTTACAGAAGTGAGGACTCTTGGAAAGGTCCAGCACATTAATCTTGTTCGTCTCCGCGGATTTTGTGCAGAAACTTCAAAAAGATTCTTGGTTTATGATTACATGCCAAATGGTTCTCTAGAATCTCTTTTGTTCCAGAAGAGTCCGATTGTCTTGAATTGGAAAACTAGATATCACATTGCAGTTGGGACTGCAAGAGGACTTGCATATCTTCATCATAGTTGCAGAGAATGCATCATACACTGTGACATCAAACCTGAAAATATTCTGTTGGATGCAGAATATGCCCCCAAAATAGCTGATTTTGGTCTTGCAAAGCTCGTGAGCAGAGACTTCAGCCGGGTAATTACAACCATGCAAGGGACAAGAGGGTATATTGCTCCGGAATGGATATCAGGAGAAGCTATCACAACAAAAGCCGATGTCTTTAGCTACGGAATGTTGTGTTTTGAGATCATATCAGGAAGGAGAAACAGAGATCTTTTGGATGATGGGTTGCAAAACTACTTCCCCACTCGTGTTGCAAATGTATTAACGAAAGGAGAAGATGTCGATACCTTGTTGGATTGCAGGTTAGAAGGTAATGCAAACAAAGAAGAAGTGATGAGAGCATGCAAAGTAGCATGTTGGTGCATTCAAGATGACGAGAACGATAGGCCGACAATGGGGCAAGTTGTTCAACTTCTGGAAGGAGTCATAGATCTCGGCATACCTCCTATCCCACAGTTCCTCGACCGGTTTTCAAAGAGTCTAGGTGAGTCCATACATTACCATAACATTTCTTCCAGTACTGCTTCGGATTCAAGGCGTGGCTGCTCGAGTAGTATTACTATATCTGGAGCTTAAACTTAAAAGCTACTAATTTCCAACTTTCAAATTTCCATTTTCTTTATTTTTGTTAACTTGCAGGAGGTTGTGAGTCCCCTCATCCTCCCAAGTAGTTTTGCTTTACAATGTAAAAATTGTTGAAATAGTTATCCAAACTTCAGTCTTTCTTGTCGTGTACTTCTCTTTATTTTCACCAATTAAATTAGAATATCGCTTGAATAAAGGAATAAACAATTAAAATCTTATTTGGCCCAAAATCTTATTTGGAATTCCCGCAAATAGCATTTTCACAGAAAGAAAAATAGTGTGCTATGTAAAAAGGATATTCGATAGAAAACGTGGACTGGAAAAGACAGTGTACCAAACATGTTTTGGAAATTCTACTGTTTTGACAAATCCCAGGGAATGTTGAGTTATATATGTAACGTCAATAACCACGGAATCCTCCGCAATGATGACCGCACGTTTAAAATGTCGTGGACTGCAACCCAACTTTCAAAGTTCAACGTCCTATTTTCTTACTTTTCAGCCGTCTGGTTAAAATTACACAGCTGAAATGTTAAAATTAAGGTACGGTACAAGGTTGAAAGTGATGTGTTATTATACATGAAATGGCTTGAACAACATGAATGATGATATCTCAATCGAATATCAAATTTTATATTGAGGTATTGGTGCTAAATATAGACATCATATCAACAATATCGATAACATATCAATCTCTACCGAATATTAATGACACTAACAACTACATTAGTGAATATCGTTGCTTCCGCCGACGTTATTGACACTTCCGACATGTCCTTCATTTCACCCTTGGTTTATTTGTTTTTCGTTTTGGGTTGGGGATCACATATGGGTGGCAACTGATTGTACGATTTTTTTTTCTTTGGTTAATATCAGTTTACTACTCTCATGTTTCATGATTTTCAACCTTTAGTACATCAAACTTGTTTTATCCCAGAGTCATACCTAATGTGTTAATTTTGGAACAGTCTCATACATCCGTTAGTCAAACTGTTAAGTCTGCCATTAATTGATGATGTAACGCCTATGTGGATAATGATTGAGCGCCAACTCGTCTTCTCCCTCCCTCATCCCCCCGCACCCTCTTCCTCCCTTCTCTCTTCTGCAACCCGCACCCCTTCCCTCCCTTCTCTCTTCTACAACCTGCACCACCTTGCCTTCTCTCCTCCTTCCTCCCTTATCCCTCCATTATCTCCTTTGCACCAACCCACCAAACCCTAGTTTTATAAAATTTCATCAAATCTGTCGGCTGATTAACAAAATACAGGCATCTATCAATTAGCAAGCAGAATAATCCTAAAACTTTCCTCGACTAATCAGTGATTCTTTACGGTACACAGCTTCTATTTTTCATGTTGTTCCATTGCTGCATAACAAGCTTTTGGTTGTAGTTGTTGGGTTCTGAAAGGTTGCAACGCGTACACAAGTTTCGTGAACTTGGATCAGGGTTTGCCCGTTGATCGATGGCCTGAACCGGGAATGGGGTTACAATGGGCATCGCCAAGGGTGCCCGAGTGTGGGACGCAGGCGGATTGTGAGGGGAAGTCCACTTATAGGTTTGACCCGGCTGTCGGGGTGCTAGTAATTGACGAGCAGGTAGACATTGAAGACGAAGATGATGATGCAGAGAACAATGGTGACGATGACGAGCGCAAGGTTGAAATCACCCCTCACGGCGGCGGCGTTTTAGCTGCTCTCGAATCGAATCGAATCAGAGAGATGGAGATGGGGAATCAGAAATTAAGGTTAGGGATGTGAAATTACGCGTTCAAGTGATCGCAGATCTCTATCGTTGATCCGAAAAGGAGTAGAGCCATTAAGTATGACTCTGGATGAAAAAACTTGTTGTACTAAATATTGAAAACCAATTTCATTAAGGTAGTAAACTGATATTTACCATTTTTTTTTTTTGTCAAAGGAAACATTACCATTCCAACGAAGCACAAATACATAATGGTCTAGATACACCAAGTCAGAACAAGAGTAGGATCAGAGACCTTAAAACCATACAAACCATACAAACCATACAAACCAAAACACCATACAAACCAAAAAACCTAAGTAATTTACACCCCTGCCATCACCATAACATCTCAGATTCTCTATCATCTTGCAGCCTAAATTCCGATCAAACAAATTCTCAGGAAGGAGAAAACACACAGCTACATCACCCTTGAACCAACACCAGACGATCAGCCACCACATCACAAGAGAAACTAACAGGGAAGCAGATAGGAAAACCAGAGGCATCCGTTCCAACAAAGGCACACAAGTAGAAGGTGGTGGTGTAAACACCAGAGTCAGAGCTCTACACACCTTCCGGCAAATTTAGAGGATGAGAAAAAGAAAGAAAAGAGAACATAGTGGAAAGAAATAGGAGAAGTGGGAAGAAATTAGCTCTCTGAAACATGGATGAAAGGAAAGGAGGACAAGAAATTTGAAGATCGAAGTTCAGAATTGCAAAGTAGAACACCAATAGATTGGATGGAGAATCAAAATATAGCAGGGGGAAATATAAACAAAACTAGAGGTTGTCGTCGACCCCGGCCATGCCTAGGGCCGACGGCTGAACGAAAATCGGATCGGGAAAGCTCACACACCAACAATGCGATAAGTTCTCATAGAGAGAAAACTCTCACCGGAACGGGTGATAAGTTTGTCTTGTTGTAGGATTACATGACTGGTAATTAGGTATGTTGCCTTCAGATCAAACAACGCGGCACAAACTCCCCCTCGTGAAACGTAGTTGGACCAACTTCATCGACCCAAGTTGTTAATCTCGAGTCCAATTAGCTAGCTCATGGCTACACCTGTTAACCGCAATAATAAGTTGGTTGCGAACATGGTCAAATTGTGATATAATTGTTAGGAAATTCTATTTATACTCAAAATTTATAGCTGAACTTCGATAAATCAATGGTAAAGGTACCAAGTAACATTAATAACGAACTGTTAATTTATTTTATACATTTGAAAAATTAAACGATTTCCGTTTTGTATGATTTTTTGTAAGAATTATCTTCAAATGAAGATTAAGACTTTTTTTTTTGAGCAAAAATAAAGATCAAGACATTAAACGGTTCCAATTATAAATTACGGTAATGACACATTATTTATAAGTGGAGAAATGAACTCATCCTCAAAAGAGCAGAGAATACAAGTATTATTCAACGAGAAAATTATTCTTTCTTTTTATTCATTATCTTCTAGTGATAATTAATCATTTGTTAGATAGTACGTGACAATTAACAAATATTAGATAAGAGGCTTTTAGTGATAAGACTAAAACTAATTGTTTTATCCGCTGTTTTTAACAGTCCGTTTAAATACATACAGGAAATCTCCATCACCAACACCATGCCATCTGAGGCTGCAATTGTCACGCATGATCCTCTGCTTGTGTATAAACAAATAATCATCCGTTGGGAGAATTTTCCTGCTCAAAAGTAGTTGCCTCAACTCATTAACCGTGATTCTTGGTCGCTGGTGGATCCATTGACAAATCTGTTAAGTTTTTCAGTTATTCTTGCAGCCCCAAACTCAGATATAGATTTGCCTATCTACATGAAAGAAAGACAATTCATAGTCCAAATTAATATCCCAAAGTACTGATTGATATCAAATATTTTCTTGAGAAACAAACAGAGAAAAATTTAGCTAGTTTTACGTACTTCTGCACGTACTATGTGAAATGTTGAGTCTCCCAAAGTTGAAAAGTTAGCATGCACAACGTTGGCATGTTCTTCGTCAAGCAGGCGAATGATGTCGTAGAACATGAACTGATGATTTTCTAAGCCACTTATCAGTACTACCTCTAGTGTGGAGTCTTTCTCATGGATTTTGATGTGGGGTGCCTTTGCGCTCCTTGTGCTCTCAACATTTACGCATGCTGTAGCATATGATCTTTTTCTAGTGCGCATTAAGCTCTCCTTCTTCTCCTTTAGCTTCTGCAGCTTCGACTCTTGGCTTTTTATGTAGTTTATGGCTTCATCTATTTGATCTGTCTGACTTAGTGGCTCCTGCATTCACAACAAACACCCACGTTCAGTATTAGCTATGAATTTCAATGTCTCACATCCACAGTCCGACAAAGATATCTGGTGTAACAAGAGAGTATTTCTGGCATTGACAGAGAGAGAGACCTTAAAAGTTTGTTTAGGGAGGAGGGAGTAGAGGTTGGAGTAAAGAAGTTTCATACGATTTCTCCTGTTCTTCTCAACAACCCTCCTTTCAACTTTGGTTGAAGAAGATTCATTTGCATGATTACGATCCATTCTCTGGCAAGTTGGCCACAAATAAGTACAAATACCATATATATATATATATATATATAGACACACACACACACACACACAGATATATAATATAAGTCTGTCTGGTGAGAAAAGTGCAAAAGGAAGATGAAGTCTTTACTGTCTAGTGACTAGCAAGGAAATCAAAGAGTAGAGTCAACGCGTACTACTGCTACTCTACTCGTCATCCAAGTTACATCAACCATATTTATAAGTCAGAAAGAAAGCCGCTAAGATGGAATTTTGCATCCAATTTAAGCACGTGGATTTATTATATTAGCATGCGTTTAATTGTTTCTGCGCCCTACTGAGCATTCACACTACCAGAAAATATCTTGAAGTGGCAGTGTGATTTCTGTTACGCGGTTTATGGATATTCTCCACGTTTTTTATTCGTTTATAGTTAAACTTGTCCTATTTCATAAGTTTCCACGTGAGTTTTTGTTTTTCTCATCGAGGATTGTATTGATATTTTTGTCCTGTTTTTCATCAAGTAGAAATGGTTGCCCAAAAACAAAACGAGAGGAACGTTTACTTTATGTTTTATTCACGAAGAACAATTCTGAAAAGGGCTATGAAATTGCATTAATATCTAAGAATTACATTAAACATAATTATTCATCAACCACAGCACGTGTTGCAGACCGATCAAGCAAGACAATAAGTTGGAAATATCCAAAGCTAACAAAGGAAGATAGAGATGTAAAAAATATCTTTTCTTATTTCATTTTCTTACTGAAAATTATATAGATACAATTCTATTGACATAAATGACCCTAGCATTCACATCTAATTACACATTTACCCTTGTCTAACTAACTCCAACTACACAACTACTATTAGACTCTTTACATCCTCTCAAGCTGAGACTTGGGGCAGGAAAATTACCAAGAGGAAGCTTGGACTGAAGAAAACAAAATCTGTGTTTGGATAGAGACTTGGTGTGTATATTAGCTAATTGATCTTGACTGTAGACATAGAGAACTTTAACAAGATGCGCCAAGACTAATTCCCGAATGTAATGATAGCCAACCTCAACATGCTTGGTTCGAGCATGAAAAAAAGGATTGGATGCAAGAGAGATTGCTGAAATGTTATCACACCAAATGGTTGGAACTTTAGACAAAGGAAAACGGATATCAGAAAATACTTTGCAAATCCAAGTGATTTCTGCAGCTGTGTGAGCTAAAGATCAATATTCATCTTCAGTTGAGGATCGAGCTACAGTTGGTTTCTTTTTGGCATTCCAACTAATCAAGTTCTTGCCTAGAAAAACACAAAAACCACCGGTAGACCTTCGATCATAGGTACAACGGGCCCAATCGGCATTAGAATAGGCAGTGAGATCACCATAGACCTTGTGTACGTGTGCCTTTGAGAAACCTGAGGATCCATTTGGCAGCTTGCAGATGTTGGTCCCGTGGTGCATGCATAAATTGACACACTTGATTGACGGCAAATGAGAGATCAAGTCGTGTCCAAGTGATATATTGCAAGGCACCCATAATAGATCGATATTCAGTGGGATTAGAGAGCAAAGGACCACTGTGATCAAGTTTAGAGGTACCAAGAGGAGTTACACAAGGTTTAGCACTTGCCATATGAGTCTTGTTGAGAAGATCAAGTAAATACTTACTTTGATGCATGAAGATGCCTTCAGAAGTACGTTGTACCTCTAAACCCAAAAAATAATGAAGGGGTCCCAAATCCTTAACAAGAAAGACTTGGCTGATATTGTGAATGAATTGTGGATAGAGAACTGTATTTGTTCCTGTCACAAGAATGTCATCAACGTAGACCAAAACAAAAACTGGAACTGGGGCTTGGAGAACAAATAGTGAAGCATCAGAGGATGATTGCTTGAAACCAAATGTTTGCAAAGCTTGAAAAAGTTTGCCAAACCAAGCTCTGGGTGCTTGCTTTAAGCCATACAGAGATTTGTTGAGTTTGCAAACATGACTAGGGAGAGTGGAGTCAATGAAACCAGGTGGCTGAGTCATAAAAACATCTTCCTTGAGATCCCCATGTAAAAAGGCATTGCTAATGTCCAATTGATTGAGAAACCAATCAAACTGAACAACCAAGCTTAATAGAAGACGAATTGTTACTGGCTTAGCTACCGGACTGAAAGTATCTTGATAGTTAATACCTTTTTGTTGATGGAATCCTTTTGCTACTAAATGAGCTTTATATCTATCCACTGTACCATCAGGTTTTCTCTTGATTCTGAACACCCATTTGCAACCGACAATATTTTGAGACTGAGAGGGAGGTACCAAGGTCCAAGTACCAGTGAGTTGAAGTGCATTAAACTCTTCTTGCATAACTGTCCTCCAGTGTGCATACTTTAAAGCTTGTAAATATGTAGAAGGAACAAAATCAACATCAATAGGTAATGGATGCTTAGTGGCAGAATAGGCCTTTGGTTTAAAGATGTCTGCTTTAGACCGTGTGAGCATAGGATGGGTGTTGATAGCTGTAGAAGTAGAGGCAGAATGAGAGGATGATTCTGGAGAATAGACAATTGCAGGTGAGGAAGCAACCTCAGTTGGGGAAGGCACAAAGGATTGAATTGCAGGACTCAATGAAGATGATGATGGCTGAGTTGTTGAAAGAGGCTTCGGTGAGACAGAGAAATGCAAATCAATGGCTGGAGATGAAAAGGGAGAATGTGGGGAAACTAATACAGGTGAAAGATGATGAAATGGAAAAGTAGTTTCATTGAATTGCATATGTTTAGAGATGTATACTCTGTGAGTAGCAGGATCAAGACACCGATAGCCCTTGTGCTGCAAGCTATAGCCAAGAAAAACACATTCTTGACTCTTGCCGTCTAACTTTAAGTGAACATAAGGCTTCAACCAAGAATAACATGAACAACCAAAAACCTTTAACTTGGAGTAATCCGGTGAAGACTTGAATAAAAGTTCCTATGGAGAACAATTCAAGCTGGAAATAGGCAGACGCTTTATGAGGTAGATGGTAGTAGAGAATGATTCAACCCAATATAAATGTGGGACTTTGGATTCCATTAATAAAGTTCTTGCAGTCTCAACCAAATGCCTGTGTTTTCGTTCAACGCAGCCATTTTGTTCAGGAGTATACGGACAACTAAGTTGATGAGATATGCCATGATCTTGAAGAAAAGATTTAAACTGGTTACTAGTAAATTCACCCCATGAGTCAGATCTCAAACATTTGATTTTATTCCCAATAGAATTTTCAACATAGTTTTTGAACAAAAGAAAAGTGGAATATACATCAGATTTGGCCTTTAAAGGAAAGAACCAAGCATATTTGCTATAGTTATCCACAATAAGGAGATAGTACTTATAGCCACAAATAGAAACAACGGGAGCCGGGCCCCAAACATCACAATGTAACAGACTTAAGCTAGTAGTAGAAAATGAACTAGATTGAGGAAATGGAAGCTTGTGGGTCTTCGCAATTGCACAGTCAGAGCAGAAGAAATTAACAGATTTTTTCCCTTGTAGTGCAAGCTTATTGGTAGATAGAACTTTCTTGATGATGGAAGAAGAAGGGTGCCCCAAGCGACTATGCCAAATATTCACGGATGCTTTAGTACATACTAAAGCATGAGATGACAACTGAGTAGGAGAGAAAGAAGTAGGGGTACCTTGAAGAAGATAGAAACCTTGTGTAACCGGGCCCCGTAAAAGCATCTTCCCCGTAGAACGATCTTTAACAATGGAGCCATTTAAAGTCAAAGTCAAAGAACAATAATTGTCTTTGAGAAATTGATAGGCAGAGAGCAAATTGTGCTTCATTGGCGGAACCTGTAACACATTATGCAATTTAAAAGAAGCATGCTCAGTATTTAAGGATGTACTGCCAGTATGATGAATGGACAAACCTTTTCCATCGCCGATATACACTTTATCTTCACCAGTGTAAGGAGTAGAAGAAGTAAGATTGGAGATGTCATTGGTGATATGAAAGGTAACACCAGAATCAAGAATCCAAGAAGGAGATGGTTTGGAGGCATAATGAGTATACATGGCAACAAGTTTAGTAGGAAGTACTTTGCCAAAGATATCCGGATTCATTCGATCGTAGCAATCAATAACTTTATGGCTTGTAGATCTACAGATTTGACAAGTGTTACGAGAGCCAGAAGAACCCTGAGAAAGAAACCCCTGATTATTGTACCTGTTAAAACTAGAATTAGAGGGATGGCCTCTATTGTTGCCATGATAGTTGCGATTGCCTCTGTTGTTGTGAAAATGATTAACATTTCTGCCACGATTGGAGTTGTAATGAAAAGAATTTTGCAGAGGTTGATTTTGAGCTACATAAGCCTGAGAGGAAGGTGGAGTGGGAAGAAGTGGTGGCTGATTTTGAGCTGTATAAGCTTGAAATGGTTCAGTAGCAACAGATTTCTTGCAACGAGCCATTGATAGTTCCTTGGTAAGAAGAAGACCATGAAGTTCATCTAAAGTTGTAGATGATAAGCGAAGAGTGATAGAATCAACAAATGAGTCAAATTCCTCGGGTAGACCATGTAGAGTAGCCACAATTATATCACGATCAGACATAGTGGCATCAACAGCAGTTAAGGAATCAGAAATTTCCTTGATTTGCTACAGATACGCAGAGATTGATTGAGATCATTTATGAATAGACTGAAGACGAGATCTAAGCTGATGAACATGAGCATCAGATATTCCACCAAACCGATGTTCCAATTTGAGCCAGAGATCACGAGAAGAAGAAACCCCAACTGTGAAAGGAATGATCTCTTCCGAGCGTGTAGAATTGAACCAGATCAAGAGATTTTAATCTTTTTCGTACCATTGTTCAAACGCAGGATTGAGTGATTGATCAGAAAGTAGAGGAGATGGACATGGCTCAGAATCATCAATAACACCAAGAAGTTTATAGCGATGAAGAATTGGAGCAAAGAGCGCACGCTATGGAAGATAATTCGAGCTCTTAAGCTTGATCGGCACCATACTCCCAATGTTCTAAATCGTGAGAGAAGTATAACCAAAAATCCTTTGACAACAAATCTCATCCCAATAAACAACATATAACCAAAAATAAAAAACGAAACAAGCTAATTCATGGATACACTTGTTAACCACAATAATGAGTTGGTCGCAAACATGGTCAAATCGCGATATAATTGTTAGGGAAATTC